TCTTTTGCGGCTCACTCTGTTTCTCCAGCCCTAGCAGACACCTCTTGCAGCAAATTACCTGTACAAGAAGAATAAATCGATTTAAACAGGAGCAATTAAGCAGGAGCTGGAGTCGAAAGGAAAAGATGCGCTTGTTACATAATCACCAGATTTCATTCCCTGCTCAGCGTGAAGCGTCTTTTAGAACAGCACAGTCGGTAAGAGCACCAAGTATGTGCTGACGCTCACATGCATTCTATATGTCAGAATGTATTTGTGTAAGAAATCTCCTACTGAGGTGTTTTGAGGAAAAATGCTGGGTTCTGCAAAGTCAGCACAAACTTTGACAAGCGGTCATTTTTCCACAAAGGTGCTGTCAGTGAATGTCGAACATGGGTCCAACTGTGTTCATTTCAAGGGTCTGAGAATTGTTTGCAGATATTTTAGAACATAACTCATGGATGGTCCAGAAAAATTCATGCCAAACCAATAAAGTTGACTGCAAAGCACAAATTGTGTTATATAATTACAATTTAACAAAAATAAGAATTGTAATTATAAAAAAAAAAAAATTCTCCAAATGACTAGAGCCCCATTGACTCCCTCTACCAATTCATTGATGAAATTAACAGTTGGATGTGCCAGAACTTTCTTCAGTTAAACAAGGAGAAAACTGAAGTCATTGCATTTGGAAACAAAGATGAAGTTCTCAAGGTGAATGCATACCTTGACTCTAGGGGTCTAACAACTAAAAATAAAGTCAAGAATCTTGGTGTGATTCTGGAGACAGACCTTAGTTTCAGTAGTCATGGCAAAGCAGTAACTAAATCAGCATACTATCATCTAAAAAACATTGCAAGAATTAGATATTTTGTTTCCAGTCAAGACTTGGAGAAACATATTCATGCCTTTATCACCAGCAGGGTGGACTATTGTAATGGTCTCCTCACCGGCCTTCACAAGAAGACCATTAGACAGCTGCAGCTCATCCAGAACACTGCTGCCAGAATTCTGACTAGAACCAGAAAATCTGAGCATATTACACCAGTCCTCAGGTCCTTACACTGGCTTCCAGTTATATTTAGGATTGATACTAGTCTCCTCACCGGCCTTCCCAAGAAGACCATTAGACAGCTGCAGCTCATCCAGAACGCTGCTGCCAGGATTCTGACTAGAACCAGAAGATCTGAGCATATCACACCAGTCCTCAGGTCTTTACACTGGCTTCCAATTATATTTAGGATTGATTTTAAAGTACTTGTACTCACTTATAAATCACTCAATGGCATAGGACCTAAATACATTGCAGATATGCTCACTGAATATAAACCTAACAGACCACTCAGATCATTAGGATCAGTCAGTTAGAAATACCAAGGGTTCACACAAAACAAGGGGAGTCTGCTTTTAGTTATTATGCCGCCCGCAGTTGGAATCAGCTTCAGCTAAAACATTAGTCACATTCAAATCTAGACTCAAAACTCATCTGTTTAGCTGTGCATTCATTGAATGAGCACTGTGCGATGTCCGAACTGATTTGTTTAGCTGCACATTTATTGAATGAGCACTGTGCTACGTCCGAACTGATTGCACTGTATTTTATATATAATCATTTCCTTTTTGTACTGTTTTAAATTAATTTTAAATCAAATTTTAAAAGTTTTTAAATTCCTTGTTTTATTGTTGTGATTATTTTTTATGATTATTTTACTTCCTTTTATGTAAAGCACTTTGAATTACCATTGTGTATGAAATGTGCTATATAAATAAATTGCCTTGCCTATATGTAAAATAAGTCGACTGTTGCAGCCAGGGTTTAAAATTAACACTCGCCAAGCACCAAATTAAAGTAAAAATTAGCGTTGGCAAGTAGAAACAGTGTTAACTGCCAGTCGGTTGGTAACTTGTTATATAAACAAAATATAAATAGATAAAATAATTTATATGAATTTAATAATAATAATAATAATTTAATTTAATTATTATGAAACACATTATAGTTCAGTAGTATTATAGTGATATTTCTTTACTGATTTGTTTATTTTTTTCTAATTCGATTAAATAATAATAATAATAATAATAATAGCAATTTTTTTCCCAATTTGTTCTACCTGTTGATAGATATGATACCATCCAGCCTAAGGATATCAAGCATGTTTGATATTTTGAGGCAGTTTTAGAACATATACCCTATTGCTGTCAGTACAGGGCACACTGACCATGTCTACCCACCCAAGACCCACCAAGACTTTTTTCCACACTCAGAACAGAGCCAACTACTGCAGGCTCCTATACATACATGTTTGTTTTCATCTGTCATGCATATTTTGGCAATGAGGCAGATGTTTCTGTGTAAGTTTGTTGTATTTGGAATGACATGAATATCTGTGTGTGATCTTCAGTTGTTTTAGTATGATGCCCAGTTTTTTTCAGCAAGTACATGTCTGATGCCTATATAGTGAAAACCACTATAGTGTTTTAAATTCTGTTCATTTTTTTTTTATTTGTGTGTGTGTGTGTGTGTTGTATTCCAGCCTTTAGTTTCAGGAAGGAGAAAATTATAGCAATGATTCTATTTAAAAATGTACCACTTCATGTAATATTTGTGTTTTATGTTTTTTCGTGCTTACAGTTTTGAAGCATTAATCAAGTCTCTTGTGCAGTTCTTTTTGTGTGGTTCATGAGCTACAGCGGTTATTTGAGTTGTCGAGCTACAGTCTTGACACAATGCATAATTGAAGGATTAAGTACACATTTTGCAAAAATCGGGCTCCTACAATTTCAGGTTTAAAAAAAAACAGATTGTTTTAGTCTTGCTGTAATCAAACTTAAACTTTTAAAATGTAAAAATGTACTTTTAACTTTTTTAACTTTGCATACAAATATAAATACATATTTAATGAATATGCATATAAATACACTCACTGTAATTAAGACTTTCAATTAAGATTTATTAATACTTTTTTGTAATTAAGACTTTTAATTAAGTTTTTTTTCTGAAAAAGCAAATTTCAAGCATATACTCTTTTGGAAAAGAAGTTCACTTTATCATACTTTTAAAAAGAGTACTCACTGTAATTAAGACTTTCAATTAAGATTTATTAATACTTTTTTGTAATTAAGACTTTTAATTGTTTTTTTTCTGAAAAAGCAAATTTCAAGCATATACTCTTTTGGAAAAGAAGTTCACTTTATCATACTTTTAAAAAGAGAAATAATATACTTTAAAAGAATGCACTATATAAAAGAATACACATTCAGGAAACTGAATGTTTTTGAATACTTAATTGCATGTTAATTGCATGATTAAATGAAAGTGTATGATAGATTAAATGTAAATTAAAAGCAATTAGTTAAATTTTAGAGTGCTTTTGTGACCCACTTAAGTGCGACACTAGTTACATCTTTATATGTAATTTCATAATTACCTCTATTCAAATATGGTTAAAATGTCCTGCTGAATGTACTGAAAAGCATTTATAAACTAAAATATACTGTAATGCCATTATCCTTTAAACTTGAATCCATCTGTCCATCCATTTTGAAATAGAGAACCCATGTGCAGCTTTTTTTTTTTTATATAACAAGCAATGACCAAACAATACAGAATCCACAGGAACAAATTATGACTTAACTTGAACGTGAACATGACACTCATCAACAGCAGTTTACAATAACAAAGCTAGACAAGAGACAAAGGAAACATGAGGGCTGCATATACACAAGGACTAATGACTAACAAGATAAACCTGAAAGTAATCAAGACAATGAACCAATGACAAGACAGAACTGAGAACCACCTGACAAGACAACAAACCAATAGGTGCGTTCGACTTCATGCAGCACTGCGCAGATCGATCGCAATCTGACTTGAAGCAGTGCATGCCGGTTAGTAATTTTTCTCGTTGCCAGCCGTCTGTAGCCGTGCTTCAAGTCGAACGCACCTAATGAAAACATAACACATGATCCAATGGACACACATGAGAATATCACGAGGAGCACAATCAAATGACAAAACATGAGCTAGCGAAAGGGACTGAGTGGTGGATCAAATGAAGGACAGTTTGAAGTCTAGGATGAGCTTACAGGAGTCCTGGAGAATGAATGATGTGTGGAGAAGTGTGTTGTGTGATGGATAGAGTTTGAGAGATGAATGAGAGCAGAGGGGAAGAAGATGCTTGATGAGGTTCTGATCTGAAACGTACAGCCCAACATCAGGTCAGAGGTAGAGCGAGAAAGGAGGAATTTGTCAAGTCGACAAATGATTGTTCTGGCATCTTATCAGCTTGCTAGTCAATTTCAGGCATGGAAATACCAGAGTGAAGGGCACCTTTGTCCCCACAATCACCATAAAATGAGCAAATTTAACATTCAGAGCATAACAGCAACCATTAAAGGAAAAAAAAAAAACATGCTTTAAGCCATTATTATTCAGCATGCAGCACATTAAGTAACTTGTGTTTTATGTCCATCTCAGATTATTTATTTCATACTAATTCCATTTTTTTGTATCTACAGCAAAAAAATAAATAAAATAAAAAATGTGTTCCATGTGACCGCAGTCATCTGACCCATTAGAACTGCAGTACTTTCAGTGCCTTCCACTTTAGCTTTAATGTGATTGTGATGGTAACTGTGTCACCTCTTATCACCGATTAGTTATGCAAACAAGATAAAAAAGCCTTTGCGTACCACTCCCCTAATCCGCAATTAAAAGCGGCGATGGGGCTGTTTGCTCTTTTTGCGTTTTTTTCACTGAGGGCTGTGTGCTACATTCCAGACCTCTCAAAGAGCTTTTTGCTGATGTCCTTGCCAAAGTCATCGTCACATGTGGAAAACCAAAAATGAAAAGTTTTATGATTCCTTTTCAACTGTCAGCCCCCCGGTACAGCTAGAGAGCATTGAGGGGCACATTCATGACTAGATTATTGACAGAGAGCACGAGTGAAAGACAGTCAATGACTAATTTCTCTTTCACTTTTTATCCCACTAACTCTCATCATCTGATCCTCTCTCTTTAGGTAATGAGCTCCTCTATCGTACTCGTGAAGGTGATGTGGTCCGCTTTAACATGGAGACCAATGAGAGTACAATCCTGGTCACAAACAGGAAGTTTGTAAGTGTTTTACTCCAACTCTTTCTTCCCCCTAAAATTGTGAAGCCCTTCAAAGGAAAATTTGAAAATCAACCCAAAATGAAAATGTGCTGCAAATTTACTCTCAGGCCATCCAAGATGTAGATGAGTTTGTTCTTCATCGGAACAGATTTGGAGAAATTTACTTTTACATCACTTGCTCACCATTGGATCCTCTGCAGTGAATGGATGCCGTCAAAATGAGAATCCAAACAGCTGATAAAAACATCACAACACCAGTCCATCAGTTATCATCTTGTGAAGTAAAAAGCTGCACGTTTGTCATAAATAATCCATCAAGATGTTTTCAACTTCAAACCGTTGTTTCCAACTAAAATTTGAGTCCTCTATCCATAATAAAAGTTTGAAATTCTTAATAATGCATTTGATTATACAAACACACAGCTTTTCACTTCACAACTGTTAATTGATGGACTGGAGTCATGTGGATGACTTGTGGATTATTGTGATGTTTTTATCAGCTGTTTGGACTCTCATTTTGACGGCACCCATTCACTGCAGATGATCCATTGGTGAGCAAGTGATGTAATGCTAAATTTCTCCAAATCTGTTCCAATAAAGAAACAAACTTATCTACATCCTGCATGGCCTGAGGGTAAATTTTCCCAGAATTTTAATTTTGGGGTGAAATATTCCTATTTCAGATAGGACCTATTTTTTCCTATAGACATATGAAAATCAAAACTGTTTAATAACTGTTACTGCTGCTATTTCTGAACGATTCATATTTTAAAGTGATTCCAAAAACTATTAAGGCATTACCATTTAGTCATCATAATTTTGGGGCATTTCTTTTAAATCATCTGGTGTTTTGATGATTTTAAGTGAATGTATGAAGTCAGTTCTCCTCAAGTTCACACAGGTGTCCTAGCAGAGGAACCACAGGTGTAGAGAATCACATTAATCAACATGATCCACAATACATCCTGCATGGCCTGAGGGTAAATTTTCCCAGATTTTTAATTTCGGGGTGAAATATTCCTATGAAGACATATGAAAATCAAAACTGTTTAATAAATGTTACTGCTGCTATTTCTGAACGATTCATATTTTAAAGTGATTCCAAAAACTATTAAGGCATTACCATTTAGTCATCATAATTTTGGGGCATTTCTTTTAAATCATCTGGTGTTTTGATGATTTTAAGTGAATGTATGAAGTCAGTTCTCCTCAAGTTCACACAGGTGTCCTAGCAGAGGAACCACAGGTGTAGAGAATCACATTAATCAACATGATCCACAATATTTGACTAGAAAATGCCACACTTTTAAACAATCTTTAATCTTTTGTTTTATTATTTCTAACTTTATCTTGTGTAAGGATTTGTCTGAAAATGCATTTGTGCTTTATTCTTTAGAATAAATGACGCTTGTTTTGATACAGTGATCAGGCATAACATTATGACAATAACACTGAGTATCTTTTCATCACAACACTTGCTAATGGGTGGGATATATTAGGCAGCATGTTAAATTTTTTCCCTCAAAGTCGATGTGTTAGAAGCAGGAAAAATTGGCAAGCATAAGGATTTGAGCGAGTTTGACAAGGGCCAAATTGTGAGGGCTAGACGACTGGGTCAGAGCATCTCCAAAACTCTTGTGGGGTGTTCCCGGTCTGCAGTGGTCAGTATCTATCAAAAGTGGTTCAAGGAAGGAACAGTGGTGAACCGGTGACAGGGTCATTGATGCATGTGGGGAGCAAAGGCTGGCCGGTGTGTGGTCCAATCCAACAGACGAGCTAATGTAGCTCAAATTGCTCAAGAAGTTAATGCTGGTTCTGATGGAAAGGTGTCAGAATACACAGTGCATCACAGTTTGTTGCGTGTGGGGCTACATAGCTGCAAATCACTGCCGAAAGTGCCAACAGTGGGCACGTGAGCATCAGAACTGGACCACGGAGCAATGGAAGAAGGTGGCCTGGTCTGATGAATTACGTTTTCTTTTACGTCACGTGGATGGCCGGGTGTGTGTGCATCGCTTACCTGGGGAACAACAGGATGCACTATGGGGAAAAGGCAAGCCGGCGGAGGCAGTGTGATGCTTTGGGCAATGTACTGCTGGGAAACCTTGGATCCTGCCATCCATGTGGATGTTACTTTGACCCATACCACCTACCTAATAGGCTTGCTCTGATAGACGGTGCTGACGGTGATACCGGTGTTAAGCCGCAACACCAAAAGTTCTATGTTTTATATATAGGCTAAAGTGAGTTTGACGTGTATTTTTGTTGTTGCATTCAAGCAATTGACGCTGAACTGCCTAATTCAAAAGTGAAAGTAAAATGCGCACGGCGCTTTTAAGCTATTTAAAAGCGAAGGAACGCCAGGAAAAGAGGGAAAATTCAACTGAACTAAAAACGAACAATTGCTTTACACCGAATTGCCGCTATTTTAAAGTGAAAGTAAAATGGGCACACCGCTTTTACAAGCTATTTAAAAGCGAAGGAAAGCGAGGAAAAGAGGGAACGCCCCGCCCCCGCGGTGATACCGGTATTACCGGTGTTGTCACACGTCGATTAAGCGGTGGGAAAATTTCCTCACCGTCACAACCCTACTACCTAAGCATTGTTGTAGATCATGTACACCCTTTCATGGAAACGGTATTCCCAGGTGGCTGTGGCCTCTTGCAGCAGGATAACGCGCCCTGCCACAAAGCAAAAATGGTTCAGGAATGGTTTGAGGAGCACAACAACGAGTTTTCGGTGTTGACTTGTCCTCCAAATTCCCCAGATCTCAATCCAATTGAGCATTTGTGGGATGTGCTGAACAAAATAGTCAGATCCATGGAGGCCCCACCTCGCAACTTACAGGACTGCTAACATCTTGGTGCCAGATACCACATCACACCTTCAGGGGTCTACTGGAGTCCATGCCTCGACGGGTCAGGGCTGTTTTGGCAGCAAAAGGGGGACCAACACAATATTTGGAAGGTGGTCATAATGTTATACCTGATCGGTGTATGTTGTTTATACATTTTTAAGTTAATATATTTTCGGGGTCATCATATTTGACACACAATTCTTTATTTTCAAAATGTAACTCTTATGTAACTTTTGTCATAATCAAGGCCACACATGTGAGGAAAATAATATTAGACAGTATAATTTCATACATTTATTGTTTAAGGTGCAAGTAATTTTTCCCCGTTAGAGGCATTTTACAAATAAAGAAATGAATAGTAATTTTCCAAAATGTATTTAAAACAATGTACTCTGACATGAAAAAGCCATTCTTGTGAAAAGAAGTGCACTTAATAGTATTGAATGTGCACTTGTAGTGTGCTTCAAATCTTAAAAGTATATATATATATATATATATATATATATATATTGAAAGGAG